GCCTACAGACAGAAGGGTCCCTGGTTCAATTCCAGTCAAGGACACATGCCCGGGTTGTGGGCTCAATCCCTAGTAGAGGGTGTGCAGGAGGCAGCCAATCAATGATTCTCTCTCATCACTGTTGTTTCTATCTCTCTCTCCCTCTCCCTTCCTCTCTGAAATCAATAAAAATATATTTAAAATAAATGAATAGATAGATAAATATTTTTTAAAGTGTGAGTCATTTTAAGTACACAGAGTTGCTTTAACTACCAAAGCATGGCTGCACACTTTAGGAAGTTCACCAAGAAGATGAGCAGGACCAACAAAAATTTATATTGAAGGAAGTAAATGAAATTTGAGTAACCTTGACTGGTTAAATGCCTCCAAAAAAGAACACTGTTATTATTTTTTGTCCTTCAGTGTGTTCTTTTACATGATCTTCAATGATATGATATTAAAGATTAGATCGGGCAGGGTTTAATAAGGGAAGCTGAATCTTGTGGGTGGTATAGAATAAGGGAGTTGTTATATGGTTTTGATTTTATACAATTGTAGGTGGAAATGGGGAAGTTAATGTTCAGAGGGGATGATTAGCTGAGCAGGGCAAAGCTGGTGAAGAAGTCTATGGAAGGCCATTGCTTCTGCATCTGACCAGATCTGGAGTATGTCAATAGAGTAGGTAATTAAGGGGCAGGTCAAGAGATGGTCAAGAGGAAAGCTGAATGCAAAGTTGAAAAGAACAAGGAAAAAGTAGAAGCTATGAGGGCAAACTAGAACCCACAGGGACAGACTGCCACATGCATCTGTCTTTCAGTGCATGGCATCCCCAAACGGCAATGCCCTGCAGAAGGAGCTGGTGTCCTTGCAGCAGAGCTGCATGTGTGCCCAGCCCAGGACTCAGACAACCTGAGGCAGGGGAACCAGCAAGGGTTGCAAAAGCCATGGGCCAGCTGATCAACATGTACACGACCTGCCCAGAGCCTGATGCCCTGTACTCACCTGCCTATTGCAGTGGTTGCACACTTCTGTCCTCCAAATCTCATGGAAATTTCTCTGTGGCCAACTCTAACCCAGAACCATACAGAGAAATGTAATTCCAGTTTACCTAGGTTGATGGAGTACAAAATTACCACAGAGATAGACTATAACTGGGATTAAGGAATAAATAAAAGGAGGATACAATTCAATCCTTTCTTTATAAAGACATAAAAACTGCAGCCCAGTGAGAGGGTGGCTTGTCCAGTGTCACAGAGCTAGTGACAGGTATATAAACTCAGTCCCATGTGTGTCGATCTGGGTGATATTACAGAAAGAACTGTGGATGTGAAATTAAGATGCCTGAGATTTTGCCACTAATTAATTGTTTGACCTTGGGAAAAATACTCAGTTCTGGATTCAAGTTTTCTGGTGAGAGAATGGCACCTGGGCGAGGCACAACACATTGAAGATGCTCAGTTAATAGCTAATGAATAAATGAATAAACACAGTCTCTCAAGAACAACCATTTTATAAAATTGTTCTAGTGCCTACCATAAAAGAAAAATTAAAGCCATCATTACATATTCCTACATATTCTCATGAAATTTATCTGGGGCAAGAATGGACACAAGTCAGATTTCCAATCTCTCTGTCGGTCATGTAGCAGTTAGACTTTCTATATATATTTTTTGTCCCATTGTGGCTTCTACTGGATCCATTCAGTCTGAGCTTTTCAGCAGGAGACTAGTGTCACATAGCTGAAACACAACAAATCCCAACAGTGTCAAGAGGAAGAAACTAGAAGAATATCAGATCTCTAGGAATGGATTTCTATGTTTTACTCATGAATCTGCAACTTGGGCAGAGTTCAGAGGAACAACTTATCTCTGCTCCAGGTGGCATCACCTTGGGTAACTCAAAAGTCAGGAGCTATAATCATCTAGAAGCTACTCACTTTCGACCAGGCCTATTGGCTAGAACTTCTACGTGTGGATTCTTCATGCAGTATCTCTGCTTCCTTCCGGCATGGTGATTGGGTACAAGAGTGAGCCTCCAAAGAGGGCCAGAGAGAAGCCACATCATCTCGTATGCTGTGGACTCAGAAGTTACATGTCATTTCTGCCAGAGCTACAGACACTCCCAGATTCAAGAGGAGGGAGTAAAGATCCTGCCTTTCAGTGAGAGGAGTGATGGCATCGCATTTTAAGAGGAGCCTGTGGGACCAGACACCATGCTGCACACCATCTTGGAAAATACAATCTACCACAAGCACTGATCAATACCCACCATGAGTTTATGAACACCAGGCTTGTAACCCAAATGAGGTCTTGACTAACAGAGACTAGGCTTTTTCACACATATATAAATATATTTACATATGCATACATAACAAGTACTTGGTAAGTGAAGTTAATTATTGGATTCTTCTTGCTTTCAAGATATTTTCAGTGTCATGCTGGAAGGCCAGGGCAGGGAACTGGGCCACTCAATTAGTTTAAAATAAAGTACCTTTTCCTCATCATCTACCTTCTCTCTGGGAAAATAAAATCAGGTTGCTGAATTTGTCATACCATTTCCATGGTAACAAAGCCCAAAATGTTGAAAGTGGATTAAAATTCTTTGCAATATTTAAGAAATCTGCATTTAGTCTGTGAAGTATTACCACTAACCCCTCTCCACACAAACACACACACACATGCACATGCACACGCTACATGAGTGTTTTAAAAAATTTGATAATTTATACTAAGTGACCATAAAATAAAGGAAAATGTGTATGGATGAGATAGTGCTGGTTGGTCTTCTTAGGTCTGTGATAAGTCAAATTTTCTTTTTTTGATTTTTATCTCAACTAGGTGGTTTTAGAAATAATCTGACTACTTGAAGCCTAGAGAAAAGTTAACCATCATAGGTACAGAAGTCAGAATAATTATGGTGTTTGGAAACAACAAGCAGCTCAGTGCAACTGGGGAGTAGAGTATGTCTAAGACAAGTCTTATTTTTAGTGTTAGAACTCTTAATTATGCAGTATTTCAAATATACAAGAAAATACAGGAAATTATGTGATAACCATGTACTTACCCCCATAGTTATAGCTATTATCCATTTGCAATATTTTCTCTAATCTCTTTCCCTTCTAAACAAATAAAATATTAGCTATCCAGTTAAAGACTTACTTGTTCATCTCTTTACCTTACCTCCCTCCCCAGAAATCATCAGCATCCTGAGGTTTGTGTATGACATTCTTGGGTATGTTTCTGTATATTCATGCTTATGAATGACTCCCTTCCCTGTTATATCTTTGTGCTTTAGAAACTTATATAAATGGTATCATAGAGTATATGTTCCGTTGGAACTTGTTTCTATTGCTCAACACTATGATATTTATCTTTAGTCACAGGGCATAGACATGCCATGAGGAGAGTGTAGACTAGCATTCAGTATTGCAGATAGTCAATCATTTATGTAACTGATCTTATAGTTCACCTGGAGAGTAAGTTGATGGTGATGGTTTTTGCATTTGAAGAAAATGTTATTGATATGCAGAAAGAACTGGATACCAGAAGCTCAAGTGAATACAGGGAAAAGAAAATATGGACATTTGCACACCACTTCTTCCATTTGGGGAGGCCAGGTGCTTTCTCCTAAAATCTGTAATATGCAGGCAGTTACTGGGGCTGCATGGTGTTTGGTGATAATACCATAGAAGTCCAGTAAGTGCTCAGGAGGCAGTGTATCTAGATGTGGGTCTAGACTTCTGCAAGGATCAGGGAGCCACAACTCTGAGCTTCCATCAGGGAATCCTGGTGATTCCTTATGTCCCAGCTCTCCCTCTCCTCCTCCCACCCCTGTAGATCTCTCCTGCTGGGAACATTGAACTTGGCTAGCATGGATTTGAACCCCATAGGCTGGAGAGCTGAGGGGCTAAGAGGAGGATGTCCATTTGTGTTCTTTCATGTCCTGCCATGAGCACATCCCACTTCCATTCCTTACTGTCCTGAAAAATGCTTCCCTTAATGTTCTTTTCAATTACCAGTTGTAGTTTGATAGATTAAGTAATTTTTAACTTGTGGTAGATTGTTACAATAAAGGAACTAAAGGGGTATTTATTTCAAGGCACAAAATTGAGTCACTGATTCAATATCAGATATATGTGAGCTATTGCCCATACTCCATTTCTCTCCTCTGCTTACCGTACTTTCTGAATGTCTCAAAGAAACTCCTGACATGCAGAAACTCTCTCAAAGCAGAAAGAAGGGACTGCACGCACAGTTTACTTTTGAAGTGGCATTTACTTATCCCATAATACTTCCTAGATTAAAGTTATATTGGCCTCGTATAACTGTCAATTAATTGTATTTTATTTCTGTTGCATTTCTGAATATGTTAAGCTAAGAGCAAGTGACCTCATGCAAATTAAACTGGAAGAAGCTTTTCAGTCTATCAGAACTGATAAGTATATTTACTTAACAAGGGTAGGGCAAAGAGCTTTGTTTACTGCATACTTTATTGTCACTCTGCTGTACAGCTCTCATGTGGCTGTTTTATAAGACATAAAGTCTAGGTATCCTTTCAGAATCTTAGATCTTATTTTTAGCTCGCTGTAAAGTGGCTTATTGTCATTTATTATTTCTTATTTGATTTATATAACATCTTTCCAAGAAAAAGCCCATGGACTTATTTACATAAAAAGTACACACATAAACATACACACACAAACACATACACAAACTAACACACACTCACACACACATACACACATATACTCACACACATATGCACACACTCACACTCACATACACACGCTTGCTCACACACACACACATACTCACACACTCACATATACTAATACACATACACACACACACACACATACACACACACACACTTAAACTTCACTCAGTGCTGTCATATAGCTAGCAGCACAGCACCAAAAATCTGTAGGAGGATTTCCCATCTGATTTTTGCTCTAAGTCCATGTTCTGGGAAGGCAGTTGCCATATTTCCTTTCACTTTGAGTGTTTATCGTTTGCCTCTAGGTGGACCGAATCATCTTCTGTGTCTTCTTAGAAGTCGACTTCAAAATCTACAAAAAGAAAATGAGCGACTTTTTCCCTGTAGGTAAGTAGAGCAATTTGTTTCCTTTGGAATTGAGGATTGAAGAAATGGAGGCATCACTTATATTTCTATTTCATTTTGCATCTTAAAGGTGGTAACAAATGTGGTCTCTGTGCAGAGGTCAAGGGAACTTGTATCATAGTTTTTAAGAATTCGAGGTGATGATAGAAAATCTAGACCCGAGATCTCTGTCCCATGAGTTCATTGTGTCATCTTGGGGACATCAAAGCATCTCTTGAATCTCAGTTCCTCACATCAAAAAAGACAGATTTGACCAAATAACTTCTAAAGGCTCTTCCTCAGGCCCACAATGGCATGATCTGTGGTTTCTTCTTCACGCTTATAAATTGCCCAGGCCTGTGCTCATATCCACCATGTTAACACCTTTGCTGGAATGTCTGAGGAGCCCATTTATATTTGTGGCCAGAATGTAAAGTGTTTCTGCATTACATTCCTCCTCCCAATTTTCTGGGCCCAAATTACAATGAAGATAGCAGCTCGTTCTAGGGAAATCTAAGAAGGTAGTCTTCATCTTATTTCACACTTGTTTTTGAGGATGTAGGTGAAATCGTGGGGTTATTATTACAGAACCTTGAATAATGGCTGTACATTGATTGAATGTGCCATTAGTTGGACCTGGTTAATTTGAATTATTTCCCCTCACTGTCTTCTTCCAGCTCATGAAAGCTGATATTTGTTTAATACCTTGTTATTTACATGTTGCCTTAAAGTCACAGTGACCAAAGCACTTTCCTCAGCTACAAGAAATTTCAAGCTATGATGAGCCTTTCAGAAGGCTTTCCTTTAAGGTTTTCATGGCCATTTGAAGTGGCTTTTCATGCAACCAGTGACTGGAAAGAGGAAGGGGTGAGTGGAGGGTGCTGGTACACATTCACCCTCTTAAGCAGGCTATCAGAGCCACACCATGAAGAGGACACCCTAAGAGCAGGTCTGAGCAGCACGTGAGTAGCTGTTAAGAACAGCTACAGGCAACTGCTGGAGATGTCCAACTCTGTGCTAATTTCAAAGTGAACTAAGCCCTTCTGAGTAATTTGAAGTCCTCTCTAATTGACAGATAAATTTGCTAAATGTATTTAAGTTGGGATATTAACTATATTCTTTCCCTATCTAGAACATAATGCACATTTTTTAGTCAATCTTTATTGTTGACAGTATTGCATATATCCCCTTTTCCCTGCCTTGACCTCTTCTAGCCCGCCCACAATCCCCACCCCAAGCCTTTACCACCCTATTGTCTGTGTCAATGGATTATGCATATATGCATACAAGTTCTTTGGTTGATTTCTTCCCACCAACTCATCCTCCCCCGCATTCCCCCTGAGATTCCACACTTCGTTCTATGTTTCCATGTCTCTGGATCTATTCTGTTCAACAGTTTATTTTGTTCATTAGATTCCACACATGAGTGAAGTCATGTGATACTTGTCTTTCTCTGACTGGCTTATTTCACATAGCATAATACTCTCCAGGTCCCTCCATGCTGTCTCAAAGGGTAAGAGATCCTTCTTTTGTACTGCTGCATAGTATTCCATGGTATAAATGTACCACAGCTTTTTTATCCATTCACGTACTGGTGGGAACTTGAGCTGTTTCCAGATCTTAGCTATTATAAATTGTGCTGCTGTGAACATAAGGGTGCTTACATTCTTTCTGATTGGTGTTTCCGGTTTCTTAGGATATATTCCCAGAAGTGGGATCACTGGGTCAAATGGCATTTCCATATTTAATTTTTTGGAAACTCCATACTGTTTTTTGGAAAGACTCCCAGGTGATGAAGAAGAGGATTATGATTGCAGTCTTTTTTTTCCCCCCTTCCTCTTTCTTTCCTTTTTCTTCTTACCTCCTCCTCTTTTTTTTACCTTTATTTTTTTAAGCAACTAGCTGTTTTGCAGACAATAACACACTTAATAACTATTTAATAGATAGCTATTGATATGAGTTGGATTTAATAAATACTTCTCCCTGTAGCCTAGTGGCTTATTTTTTCTGCTTTATTCTTCTTGTTTTATCTTTTGTCTTCATTTCCTGTGTAACCACAGTGAGCTGTTTATACCTGCACTTCTGCATTTTAAGTAGTCTTTATAAAGTTTGTTATGTAAACAATGCAATTTTTCATGATGTGTGGTGTAAATATTTTCATGTCTTGTCAATATCATACCATATTCTATAAGATTTTATAAATTTTTGACTCCTTGAGATGTTTATAAATGATGATATAATATTCATTTTTATGTCTTCTAAGATGAAAATATAATTTCACTCTAACATAAGATTTAAAAAAATTTCATAAGTATAATCCATTATATTGAAACAAATCTATCCATTAGCAGGTATTTCCAATGATGCAAAGCCAAAAATCATATAAACATTTTTAAAATGAGACAGTTTTAGTGGTTCTGAATGTGTTAATAACTATGCAAATAAATGGTTGTTGAAAAATTGCTATTCTAAATAAATCCAAAATGCATTTTAATACTTGAGCCACTGAAATAATAATAAAATCATTTTCAATTCCACATCAATGCTTTAAATCATGGCATGTTCATGAAATTATTTCCAGTGCATATTTATAACAGCAAGTGCATTTTAAAACTTAATGTCAAAATCCCCCCAACTTGTTAAATATTTCTTCAATGCTGAGTCAACAGCCATTTGTAAATTCTAATTATTCAATATTAAGTAAGGGTAACATCTAATGGAATATGTGACTGCTACTATAGATGACATATATTATCTGTCCAAAATTTGAATTTATGGTTAATTTATAACTATACCATATTTTATTAGAATATAATTTTTCTGACTTGCCATATAATCTTCCTAGTCTGACTTATTCAGAGTATCTTTAATTAGTCTTCTTAACCCTTTCCAAAGCAATAATGATAATAGTTTAAGGGAAAAAAAGATCTTTTTTATATTAAACCAAATATCTATGTTTAGGGGTAATCATATGTCTTTAAATTTCACAATTAGGTTTCTGAAACACAATGTATGAGAAAACAGTGCAAGTTAGGCTAGAAAAGATGGTATTAATCATACAACACATGCATAAGTACTACCTAATATTAGTGATAGGAATAACAGATAACATTTATAGTTGCTTTCTATTAGCCAGATACATGGGCCAAGTCAGTTAAGCTTCGTGATAACTCTTAGACAGCAGGCACTGTATTAACCCTACCTTTTAGATATAGAAAATTATGGATTCTTGAGAATAATGAGGTATACAGCTGGGAGCAACGGAGTTATATTTTTAAATTCACAATGACATCTGTCACTGCACAAGTGATAGTAGGTTAATTTCCTCAGAACATCTTCAGGGAAGAATGGATTCAACTTTGCAGTTGCCTTTGGAACATCGAGAAAGTCTTATTTCTAATTTAATTAAGTGCCCATCATTTTTCAAAGCTGCCATGCTTCTCTTTCATCCAAAACCTACAATCCTCATAAAATCTTTCCTAATATGAATCAAATTGGTGATCTCAAAATTAAATCCCATCCAAATCATCCAGGTGCTATTACCTGTAGGTGAGCAGGAAAGTGGTCACCAGGAAGTCAAAGGACCTACAGCCATGAGGGAAGATGGAAAAGTTCCTGTATTAGTTTGCTAGGGCTGCTGTGACAAAGGACCACAGATCAGGTGGCTCAAACAACTGAAATGTACTTTCTCAAATTCTGGAGGCCACAATTCCAGGATCTAGGCATCAGGTGGTTTAGTGTCTTCTGACATCTCTTCTTACCTTGCAGATGGCCATGTCCTCTGTATCTTCGTGAGGTCTTCCTTCTGTGTGTGTCTGTGTCCTAATAACCTCTTCTTTTTTTTTTAATACATTTCATTGATTTTTTACAGAGAGGAAGGGAGAGAGACAGAGAGTTAGAAACATTGATGAGAGAGAAACATCGATCAGCTGCCTCCTGTACTCCTCCCACTGGGAGTGTGCCCGCAGCCAAGGTACATGCCCTTGACCGGAATCGAACCTGGGACCTTTCAGTCCGCAGGCCAACGCTCCATTCACCAAGCCAAGCCAGTCAGGGCCTAATAACCTCTTCTTATAAGGAAACCAATCATCTTCAATTAGGGCCCACCTAACAACCTCATTTTGACTTATTTTTTTATTCAAAGTCCTTATCTCTAAATACAGCCACATTATGAGGCAATGGGTGTTAGTATGTTGACATATATATTTGGCGGTAAAGGGGTACAATTCAGCCCCTAACAAAGCCAATCATGGAAATGTAGTAGGAACTTCAAAGGAAGGAAACCAGTAACAATTTTTTCCAACAGTTTTATATCTTACTGTTGGTGAAGCACATTTGACATATTTCCTTCCAGATGTGTTGTTTCGAAGTCCAGTGTGGCAACTTTGTGGAATTACCATAGACTTTGGTTGCAAATAATGTATAGTTGCAGTGCACCATTTCATGGCTTACAGCAAGTAATATTTGTATGATTCAACTCAGAAATCTCTTTGTTCTCAGCATAAAAGCTTTATATTTTTTAGTGTATAGGATTTATTGTGTGTAGTTTTTAATGATTTGGAATATGGAAGATATTTTTTTTAAAAAATTGGAATCTAAATCCTAATAGAGAATTTGGGGATATTAACTTACCTCCCAATAACAATGTCAATTTTATAATTTGGAACTATATCAAAGAATCCTGATGTTGGAAATTAGAGAGATATGGTCAAACTTCCTCCCTCCCTCCCTCATTTTAGGGAAAACCTACTCTGTTTACTGCAGTGGTTCCAAGTAGAGGTGGTTTTGCCCTTCAGGGGACATTTGAGGCATTTGTTTTGTTTCCATGGTGGGGGAAAGGGAGTGGCATCTAGCCAGTGGAGGCCAGGGAAGCTGCTAAACATCCCATAAGGCACATGACAGCCTCCCACTACAAAGAATTATCCAGCTACAGAAATCCACCCTGCAGAGGTTAAGAAGCCCTGGTTTACTAGAACCATCTCTTTCTTACAATTCAGGTCATT